ATTTTTCACTTTCGAACATAAAAATTTTGGTAAAAAATTCAAAATTTCCATGATTTTTCAATTTAGTTTCAAAATATATAATTTTTAAGCTATTTTTGATATTTATTAAAGTTTTTTTCAATGTAGTTACGAATTATTAGATTTTTATGACATTTTCGAAACTTCGAACTTAATTTCGAAAATTCGAACTTAAGTTCGAAAAAAATTTAAAACTAATAAAATTATCTATAGATCATGAGGATTCAAAAAAATATATGTTTATTAGATTTGTAAGCAATTTCTTCAAAATTTCAACTTTCGAAAGTAAAATTTTCGAAAAATTTTAAAAAAATTCTTAATTTTCAAAGTATTTTCAATGTAGTTTCAAAATATATGATTTTTAAGTTATATTCCCAATTTATTAAAGTATTTCCAATGTAGTTTCAATGTATATGATTTTTATGCTATATTCGACAGTTCGAACTTAATTTCGAAAATTCGAACTTAAGTTCGAAAAATTTTTTAAATTGTTAAAATTATCTTAAAATCAGGAGGATTCATAAAAATATAATTTTATTGATATTGGAGTTGAAATTCTTACAAATTTTTCATTTTAGACTTAAAAATTTTGAAAATTTTAGATTTTTTTGGTTTTTTAATATTGTCCCTTTTGGTTTCAAAATATAAACTTTTTAAAATCAAATTTAACTTAAAACATGCCTTTTAAATAAGGACAAAGTAAAACAAATATTATTTTCGTGGCAATTTAAATGCTTTAAGTCTTTTTTTTATTATTATTATTATTTAATACATTATTATATATAGAATATATTTTTAAATTTTTTATTATTTATAAATTTAATTTATATATAAAATATATTTAAAAGAACACTAACACAATTAAATGTAGGTAAAAACATAAAACATTTCAACTTAAAAACAAAATATTAAAAAAAGCTCATATTTTGAATGTACAAAAAAATTTAACACAAAATTAAATTAAAAAAAAAAAACTTTATATAACAAAAAAGACCCTTCCCCGCCCCTGAATTGTTAGTTAAAATATTAAAAAAAAGTATAAAAACATTTAGAAATTAAAATGAATTAAAATAAAAAATTAAACTTAAATAATTAAAATAATTATGAAATTTTTAAAAAAAGGTGAAAAAAAAAACTTTCAAAAGAAAGTTTTTTTTCATTATTTTGTTTAATGATTTTAAATAAATATTTATAAATTTAAAATAACAAACAAACTCCCCACAAACACTTTATTAGACAAATTGTAAAAAATACATAAATATTTAAAAAAAATTACACAAAAAATGAAATTAATATTGAAAATATTAAAAGTAATATTAAGAAATAAATTAATCCCCACAAAAAACAACTTTCTTCATTAAGCTTTTAAAAGCTTTTAGCAAAATAAATGGTAATAAATAAAGATGTAACACCTTTATATTAAAAACATTAAATAAACAATTAAATATTAAACCACAACATAATTGTTCTTTAATAAACAATAACTTTTTTTAAATAATAACAAACAACACACTTACAATTCCTATTTAAACTAATTAAACAGACAAAATCTCTCATACACACACATAATAATAATAATAATAATATTTATCCCCTTATCCCCCTAAAACACAATTTTTAATGTGTCTTTTTGTTATAATTATTAACAGCAATAAAATATTGAAATATTTGTTAAACTTTTTAATTTATTTTATTTTTAAAATTTAAATTTTTTTCTTTAAAAATCACCTTAATACTTGGAAAACACTCCCCCCCCCCAAACACATACATTTTAGACCAAATTTTAGTAAAAAGTCGTAAAAGTAATTTTAATTATTGAAATAAATGATAACTGTTGAAAACCCCCCTTAATTGAAAATGAAAATGCATAATAATTATTAATATTTGTTAAAAAAAAACCTAAAGCTAATAAACGAAATAATAATAAAAACATAATTATTAATTTGAACTTATAAAAGAAAATATTAAAACAAAGAAAAAAAAAATAAAAAAGGTGTAGTTCTAAACGAAATGTTTTAAAAAAAATAATAATGTTGTTTAAATTTCTTAATGTTTTGAATTGAAGGTATGTATTTTTGTTGCAATTATCAAAAAGTAGCGGATATTAAGTGAAGTCATTTAGTGAAGACACAAACCAAGTTTTCTGATAAAGATAATCAACATCAGGCATGGAAAATGTTGTGCTTTTTAAATTATAAACTGTCTAGTGTATAGTCTAGTCCATAGTTTAGTGTCTATAGTCTAGTGTACAGTCAGTCTATAGTTTAGTCCATAGTCCAGTCTAGTGTATAATCTAGTCCACGATCTAGTTTATAGCCTAGTCAATAGTCTATAAACTAGTCTAGCCTATAGTCTAGACTAGTCTACAGTCTAGTCTATAATCTAGGCTATATTCTAGTCTATAATTTAGTCTATAGACTAGTGTACAGTCAGTCCATAGTCTCATCTATAATCTGGTCTATACCCTAATATGTAGACTAGTCTATAGTGTGTCAATAGTGTAGTCAATAGACTAATCTAGTCTATTGTCTAGTTTACAGTCTAGTCTAAAGTCTAGTCTATAGTCTAGTCTATAGGTTATTATATAGTGTGGCCTATAGTCTAGTCTATAGTCAAGTCTATAGTTTAGTTTATAGTCTAATCTATAGACTAGTCCATAGCCTAGTCTCTAGTCTAGTGCATAGTGTAGTCGGTAGTCTAGTCTGTAGTCTACTCTATATTCTAGTCTATGGTCTGGCGTATAATCTAGTTTATAGTCTAGTCTATAGTATATAGATGTCTAGTCTATAGTCTAATCTATTGTCTAGTCTATAGTATAGTCTGGTCTTTAGTATAGTCTAATCTATAGTGTAGTCTAGTCTATACTCTCTAGTAGAGTCTATAGTCTAAAGTGTAGTATATATAGTCTAGTCTATTGTCTAGTCTTTAGTCTAATCTATTGTCCAGTATAGAATTTATAGTCTAGTCTTTAATTTAGTCTAAAGTCTAGTGTATATTCAGTCTATAGTCTTGTCTACAGTCATGGATACAGCTTCATTATAATCTAGTCTTTTGTCTAGCCTAAATTTTAGTATATTATCCAGCTTAAAGTCTAGTCTATAGCCTAAAGTTTAGTCTATTATCCAGCTTAAAGTCTAGTCTATAGTTTAGTCTATATGCTAGTCTATAGTCTTGCCTATAGTCTAGTCTATAGTCTAGTCATATACTAGTTTATGATGTAGTCTATAATCTAGGTTAATTTATAATCTAGACTTTTGTCTAGCCTAAAGTTAAGTCTATTGTCCAGCGTAAAGTATAGTCGATAGTCTAGTCTATAGTTTAGTTTATTGTCTAGTCTATATGCTAGTCTATAAACTTTTTATATACTAGTCTATAGTATATTCTAGTCTATTGTGTAGTCTATAATCTAGTTCATAGTCTAGTCTATAGTCTACAGTCAAACCTATAGATTAGTCTATAGTTTACTCCATAATCTAGTCTATAGTCTAATGTACAGTCTAGTCTATAGTCTAGTCCATAATCTAGTCTATATTCTAGTTAAGTCTGTTGTATAGCCTATAGTCTAGTCTATAATATATTGTCTAATCTGTATTCTAGTCTAGTCTATAGTATTATATGTAGTCTAGTCTATAGCCTAATATGTGGTCTAGTCTATAGTCTAAATTATAGTCTGGTCTGTTATTGTAGATTATAGACTACAATCTAGATTATAGTCTAGTCTACAGTCTAGTCTATAGTGTAATCTGTAACCTAGTCTTTAGTCTAGACTATAGTCTTATCTGTAGTCTAGTCTATAATCTAGTTTATTGATTAGTCTATAGTCTAGTATACAGCTTAGTGTATAGTCTAATCTACAGTCTTATCTACTGTTTAGTTTATAGTTAATCTATTGTCTAGCCTAAAGTCTAGTCTATAATCCAGTATATAATGTAGTCTATAGTCATCTCCACTTCTAGACCATAAGGTAAATTTCCTTTAAAGATAAACAAAAAAAACTAGTAGAAAACAAGAGAGACAGAAAATAGGAAAAGAGGAGAGATGAATGGAAACTGATCGAGAGTTAAGTCCCGCAATTTCTCCCCGGTTCGTCATGGAACCAATATCACATGTGCCAATATCCCAGTTGTATTAAACTATTGTTGTTGTTGTTGTAACAGCTAAAACTATATAATAATCTAGTTGGGGAGTTCAGCATCAATGTCCAGGCTTAATTGTGTTACTTCATATGTGAATGTATCGATAAATCCATTGGACAGAGTGAAGTAAGGTTGGCTAAACAGTTGAATATGTTGTGGGTATCATGAGGACCTTGACCACAAGCTGTACATTGGTCGCGGTCTATGCGCGAGCAATAGGCATTAAGCCAGAACTACTCTTGTTCTCCGCGGCAGGTTCTCTTCCCTGTCTGCAATATGTATATCAAATAAAAGGTATTTTAAAGGTCTATCCAACGCTATTCGCTCTGTTGAGGGTAATAGGTTGGTACAACTTCTTGTTTTGGGTTATTTTTCTTTTATTATCATTTCAAGTCAAAATTAGCCAATATTTTTCTACAATAACAAAATATTAGAAATCAAGAACCACTAAACTTATTAAGGAAAATGAAATAATAGAAAAAAAACTCAACTACATAGTATTTGCTTTTTACACCAAATAATCTTAAAAGGCTAAACTAAAAAATTACAAAAAAAAAAAAATATACAATAAAACGTAAATAAACAAAAAGGAAGTTTTTTTTTTTAATAAATACAAAACTTAAGTAAAAGAGAAAACAAACGCAAGCCAAATTTGATTAGATTAGTAAATTAACCGAGTGTATGTGTGTAACAAAGTATTAACACAAATCTTATCAGTTCATAGCACACAAATAGTTAAGCATATAATCAAAACCAAACAATGTTGCTTGGAGTCTAATGGCTAATGTTTTTTCGTTTCTGTTTCTTTTAATTATATTCTTTACTATTTGTTTATGACTATAAAGCTTAAGTAAGAGGCATAAAGCTTTTTCTTCATTTTACATAATTTCTAAACTGGAATCACTATTTTTGGTAACGACCTCTGTTTCCGATGAACCCGAACCAGAGCCAGTATCATTAGCTATTTCATATCATCGATTGGCTATTGCGTAAATGCGCCGAGGGGAGGAGAAGACAATTGCCAAGCTGGTATAGAGGGAGCCCCCACAGTGGCTGTCAAAGGCGATGGAAATTGTTTGCGATTAAGAGTAATCCCTTAATAGCCTCTAGAATCACTTTTAAATTGATTAAATTCACGCATAAATTGCTGAGTTTGATCGCGTTGTTCGCGGGCCAAGCTTTCCTTGACCTGTGTCAGTTCTGTTTTAAACCTCTGCCAGTCGGGTATCGACCTTTTTGTCGATTTCATTTAAGGCATCATCCACGGATTTCTTCTTTTTGCCACCAAACAAAAGGTTTGCAGGAATTTCTATAAATTTTATAAATATTAAGTATTAGCCAGAAATTTAGTTCAGATATTCACTCACCTTCCAAAACATGGATATGGCATAAGCTACTCCCCCTAACAACGCCATGGAATGTAAAACTTCCTTGAGACGTTGCAAAGCTTGTAGGCTTAGGCTGCTGCAAAGCCAATTGAGCATGCGTCTGGGTAGCATTTATGCCCTATTTATAACTGTAGGAGCATTAGGATCCTGACTAAATACCCCCGCCCTTTCACAGGCTATTTGTATTTCGGTCGAGGTAAGACCTTTGGACCTTAGAAACTGTTGTTTTTGCGACAGTGTAGTATGGCGTACTTTGGCATTGTTAAGAAAATTAACAGCAGTTGTTATCTAAAAAAAAAACAAATCCCTGTATTAGTAAATAAATATCTTCTGCCTCCTTCCTCGACACTTACCAAAGCTTCACGTGGTGCTGGTTCATCTTGGCTCATTTGTATGGCTAACTGTCCTTCGTTTACTACATTGTTGTCCATATTTGTTGTAGTTCTGTTGTTGTTATATTTACCGTATCACCGGTATCCGTATTACTCGTTGACATACTTAATTCTACTGCAATTTTAATTTTAACTTATTTTATTATTTCCTAATCTCTTAAATTTAGGTTGTTTTTCCAATATTTTGTATTTCTTCTTTTTTTTTTTTGGTTGTTGTCGTCTGTTTTGGTTTTTGTTTTCTACTGTGTATTTGCATAAAATTTGAAAAATAATTATTAAAAGGCTGATGAATTAAGAGAGAAAATGAGTGACAGATATAAACTCAAAAAGAAAACAAAGAGCTTAGAAATAGAGTTGCCAATAGCAGTTATCTCAATAATAAAACAGTGTTGTAAACTTTAGTACTATAGGTAATAAAAAACGGTTAATTTAATATACAATTCAAAATAAACTTATTTACCTAATTACGTAGTTAAATTTCAGATCTTTAAAATAGTTGCAGGCTTTACCAACTTTAAAAGTAAAGCTGGAGGTCCACACCACGCGTTCTACGCTTCTTCGCATTCTACGCGGTTGTCAAAGAAGTAAAATTAATGTTATTAGTTACAAGCACAAAAGCGTAAGATGCCTTGACGCGTAGAATGCTTAAAGTTGATCTAGCTTTGTAAAGGTGGAAGATGAGGCTGCAACGCGTTTCACGCTTTGCAAAGTTTTCGCGCTTTTTAAGCGGCAAGTTACACACCACGCGTCATTTTGACCTTTCTTTTAATGATTTTGAAGAAAATTAAAATTTTAAGTTTTTGTATATTTTTTAATATTTTTCTTCCATTATTTGAGAAATTCATTTCATTTTATTTTCTATACAAAACAAAATACAACACTGATCAACTGCCGATGCGTTAAAAGTTGAAGGTGGCTGAACTTTTCGCTGCAGACGCGTTACAAACTACAATGTGTAACTTGTTAAATGAAAATACACTATTTCAACTTTTTTTTGACAGAAGCCTATAACGCGTTGCCGTGTACAAAGCGTGTTGTGTACTTCCACCTGTATGAAAAGCACGCAATGCTTTGTAGGGTTCTATAGTTGAAACGAAAAGTCGACTTTTCGACTTTTTGCATTTAGTTAAAAGTCGACTTTTCGACCTTTCGACTTTTTCCATTGTATGAAAAGTCGATTTTTCGACTTTTCGACCTTTTTCATTTATTTAAAAGTCGACTTTTAGACTTTTCGACTTTTAGTATTTTATAAATGGTCGACTTTTCGACCTTTCGACTTTTTCCGACTTTTCGACTCTTTCCGACTTTTTTCGACTTTTCGACTTTTTCCGACTTTTTTCGACTTTTCGACTTTTCGACTTTTTCCGACTTTTTCCGACTTTTTTCGACTTTTTTCGACTTTTCGACTTTTTTCGACTTTTCGACTTTTTTCGACTTTTTTCGACTTTTTTCGACTTTTTTCGACTTTTTTCGACTTTTTTCGACTTTTTTCGACTTTTTCGACTTTTCGACTTTTTTCGACTTTTCGATTTTTTACGACTTTTTGACTATTTTCGATTTATTTCGACTTTTTTTCGACTATTTTTTTACTTTTTTCGAATTTTTCCGACTATTTTAGAGTTTTTGACCTCTTTTCCACTTTTTTAAAATTTTCGACTATTTTCGACTTTTTTCGACTTTTCGACTTTTTCCGACTTTTCGACTTTTTCCGACTTTTTCCGACTTTTCGACTTTTTTCGACTTTTCGACTTTTTTCGACTTATCGACTTTTCGACTTTCCGACTTTTCGACTTTTTTCAACTTTTATTTACAAAGTCGACTTTTCGACTTTTTTCATAGACGATAGTCGAGTTACCGACTTTTTTGGAACAAAATAGTCGACTTCGACTTTTTTCGACAATAAGTCGATTGTTCGATTATTCGAAAGTCGATTTATAGAACCCTAATGCTTTGACGTGAAAACGCGTAGTGTGGACCTCCAGCTTTAAGATCGAAATGACGCGTTGTGCGTAAAGTGTGAAACGTGTTTCCGCCTCAACGCACGTTGTGTACTTCCAACTTAAATGCAACCTTTTACATTTCAATACAGATGGTAACGCCAT